TTGCGACGTCACACCGTTCCATCTCCCCAAATTCGTCACAATCTCCATGATTTATTTCCGCGCCGTCTACACATGCGTTCTTCTGAAATGTTAATGCGTTAAAAAAAACGTATGTTAAGAATTTTCTTTTTATATTAGATCAAGAGCTGGACTTCTCGCTAGAAAGGTAATATAATAAAACACAAACTATTACCTCGAACATTGACGTATATTTCTTACGGTCTTTATACATTCGTCATGCTTTTCGTTAATTTTGCCAATGGATTGCAACGATGCTACGGGACAAGAACAGCGAAATTCCCCCCCAAAATTTTGTTAAAAAGGCTCGAGCTCTGTCATAGAAATAGAGAATAGATTCTGCGTCACGACTTTTAAGTTGAGGATTACGAATTGAACAAATTAAATTAAGATAAATTATCCTATTCGTTACGAAACGGGATTAGACATTTCCATTTTATCGAGAGTGTCCGCTTTCAAAACGCTCGTCTACTGCCATACGAGGTGGCCGAGGTCCATGCGACTGCTATCCCATTCAGGCCAACTTTGAATTTGGGCGTAGAGCTTCTTTCCAGGATTGTCTGTTGAACTCACCTGTCGTGCACCGACCACGCGTACATCGCTTCGAAGAATACCCAAGTGTTTTCCACACAGGATTAATTGGTGTGCGGCGTTTAACATGATCTGGCTGGCATTTTCGTCTAAAAGAAAAGAGCCAGAATAGAGCAAAATTTTCAATACGCAAAAAAAAATATAGATACATTGATGATAAATATCGCTGACGGAATAATTGTGATATAAGACATATAGTGCTTCGTACGATTTATCGCGATTAACACTTACGCTCAAAATTCCCAATGAAAGCTATACCGACAGATTTTTTATTGTATCCGTACGTATGTGCTCCTTCGTGTGTCCATCCGCATCCCTCGTATACATTTCCATCTCCGCCAATCAGGAATCTTTAGAAACAAAAGCAATTGTTAAATAATAGCGTAATTAATATCTTTTACATATATTATTAATATTAAAAATCTCCGTGATCGAGATAAACGTTAGCTTACGAGTAACCGATGTCGTTCCATTCTAAATTGTTCATATGATGCTCGCGAATGTTGTTGACGCGACTTGAGCACGTCTCGCGCGAATTACATTCCGGACTGAATTCTGTATGATGTATTGTCACGTAAGGTATCGGTACTATTAAATAATTGACATGCGTAACGGGGACAGTGGTCCATTGGCTTCTGCTGATGATATTCGGACAATTGACCCGTGCTGGCTCTACTAAAATATTCAATCCAAAATAATCTTAATTAATTGTAATGTTAAAGATTTGTTGGCTGGAAAAGAGAAATTTTAAAGCCAAAGGAAACTCAATTTCTTCCGGTGTAAAAAAAAAACTTTGTTTTATTTATTTGATTAATAAGAAAATGTAAAACAATTTAGAAAAAGACTCACATTTTTACAGCAGTATATCTTTCACATAATACGAATATAATATAAATATATTTTATTAATTGTATAATAAATCATTTTCCTGTGTTCTTTTATCTTGGAAAAGTAATTATTAATATGATATAGAATATATGAAAAATCCATATTATTTTCTTTAATTTCTTTTTGCTGAAATATTTTTCTTTTACAAAGGATAAAAAATTCTTATTAATATTCAGGGAAGTAAACAGAGTACATTTCGCAAATAATTTCAAATAATGAGATGATCAATTAACCCTAGACAGATTCACTGGGGTGTTACGACACCCTACGCGAAGATCAAATTGAGCCCCTTAGGAAGGTTAGTTATCATACCGAGACCCTAGCCCTAACCATAATTCAGTTTAGTCATCCGGCAAGGCCGCAGGGGGAAGTGATCCGCGCAGTTCCTTGGGCTTAACGAACCTACGGCATTACCTAGTTGAATACACCGCGGACATAAACAAACAGTTACACGGACATTCATACATATACACAGTGTCATATAGCCCAAAGGTGGGGCTGAAGGCACTATAAAATCCCTCATCCGAGGGATATAACCCCCCAAAAAAAAAAAGTCATCCGGCAATCGACCTCTGTGATTCAGCGAGTGCGTTAGATCCGTGCAGCAGCTGTGACCGAAAAAGAAAATCGTTTGGGGTATTGTGACACCCCAGTGAGTCATTTACGTTCGACATTTATTACAGTAAGTATATTTCAGATTTTTTGTGAAAATGACTCGTTTTGGCGTTTTCAGGTTAGATTAGGTTAGGTTAGGTGTATTCAAAAGTTTTTCATGTAAAAAATTTTTATTGATAAAAAAAGCATTGTATATTAGTTATACAAATTGTTACATTGTATAACTTGATGGATGGATTGGCGTATGTATAGCAGTACATAAATTGAATTTTTTACAGAAAATGTCTGTTCGTTACGAAACGTGCAGCGTTACTAGTGTACATGATAATTTGGTGCAACAAGAGCGAATTGCGGCCTACGACTTGCCTTCAGATAGTGAAGAAGATAATAAAGAATCACAGACTGATTCGGAATCGGAAGAGGACGTTGAAGATGAACCTTTTGAAGCATCGACAGAAACTGAAGTTAGAGAAGGGTCAGAGGTGTAAATACTGCTGGATTGTCAACCAACAAGCGAAAAAGAACTATTTCTCGTGCAAGTTCGATGTCTTCTCGTGTGAGTTCAAAACGTGGCCGTAGACGAAGCATATATCTTGGAAAAGATGGACATGAATGCTACACCACAGCATGGGAGAGACCAGCAGATCATCAGCGCAATGTAAGAACGTTTTTGCCTGGTCCCATCGGAGAAGCAAAATCCGTGAGAAGTCCGCTCGATGCATGGTCTCTATTATTTAGTGACGCGTTATTGGAAAAAGTGGTTCATCACACCAATGAAGAAATAAAGCGGTATCGGGACACTACGGAAAATAAGACTGTCTCACATCCGATGTATGCAGATGTGGACCTATGTGAACTGAAGGCTTTCATTGAAGTTCTGTACCTTTCCGGTCTACAGAAAACTGCAAGTACGTCATTAGAAGATTTGTGGTCTTCATGACTTTGGGTCTGTCCTTTACCGCTGCACGATGTCACGCAACAGATTTATATTTTTTCTGAGAATGCTTCGCTTTGACGATAAAACAACAAGATCTACACGTAGAAAGACGGACAAGTTTGCACCGAT